CATCATTGACTTAATTGAATGAAATGCAGATCATAATCTCCTACTATCTAAGAGTGACGAATCCTTTATTGATCAATCACAACCTTCATACAATTCTTGACGTACCCGAACGATGTCGTATTAGCGGCCCTTTGCAGAGTAACATCCAACACCGCTAAAATATGACTGTCCTCATATAAGGTACCATGACGACCTCAGGTCAAAGGACCAATTTCACTACCGAACGTTAGAGATTAACCACTAACACTCAGATAGTTATCCATGTGGAATCTCTCGACCGGTCTCCAATAATTTGTTCTATAACAAAACATCCACGTGTTCATTTAAGTGTCACTACACTTTAGCTTGTGAGATTAGCTACTTACTTCACAAGTAAGAAATGCTACATGTGATGGTCTATCCGTAATAACGATATCCGTATCTCATTATTACTTACGATCACGGTCGATTTAAGATTCAATCAGATGTAATTTTTATCTCACAATCACAACTCCTTGTGATTAACAAATTACGAAGATTTGAATTTACGGACTCCATTATTTATTTAATTATCTATTAATTAAATAATAGATCTGCCATTTTAATTACATTAATTATATATCAAAAGTATTTATATCCAAAGTTGATTGGACCAAGGGCATAATACTTACAATTTATGCAATAGGCGACAGGATTAGGAATCTGGCTTTTTGCTCATTGTAAATTGACTTCTTTTGCTTCATCATTGCATTTATGATGAGTTTGAGTTGGATTCAATTTAGTCATGATTGGATTCTTCATAAATGTAACTATAGCATTTTTCTTTGGATTTTGCTATTTGTACCCGGAGTGTTACACTCCGGGTTACCCGTCCCTCACATGGGGGGCGGGTCCCACACCCAATAAATGCATGGGACCAGCCCCATGTGAGGGGCAGGTAACCCGGAGTGTTACACTCCGGGTAACTGTAGCAAAGCTCTTTTTCTTTTTGAGTAGTCAAAGCTTTTTTTCTGCAGGGGTTGTCCCCTTTCATTTCCTATAGCCTCTATTCTGTTGTTAAGGAATGAAAGTTCAAAAGGATTCATTTAACTAACACAAGTTTATTGAGAATGAAGTTTACTTGCTTATTTATTACTAAAACATCTCATCTTTGATATTTGGATCCATCACTTGTAGTCTTAAGCGTTAGTTTAATTTTAGCCCTTCGAGTAAATTTATTTGTCCTCGTAACATTTTGAAATAAAAATAATAATTTGTTTTACCAATAAATTTTTTATATTAATTTGAGGTTGCATTTTGTTCATGGATCGACTTGATATTATAAATCAAATGTTTAAGTTGTTAAATACAGAAAGATTTGATTTATAATTCGATCTAAAGTTTATTGTCCACAATCGGTGGATCAAGATGAACACTTTATTTTGATAAGATTGTCTCAATTTTATTTAAAGTTGATCTTGATTTTAGCAATAAAATTATTTGTACATTTTGGAATATATTGGACTGGTCCACGTGAAATTAATTTATGGAATTGACCACTTGAATTTAATTTCACTTGACTATTGTACGTAGTACCTTAATCCTGAGCGAGTAATGAACTTTGATTACTAACTTGAAGTTTTTTGAGGTATCAATGAGTGGGATTAAATTGTTAATCAAAATCTTGATGCCTTGAGAATTAAAGTGAAATAATTGGAGAACATATATTTACAATATGGAATCCGTAACCTATATATAATATGCATGATCATGACCTCAAGAGATTTTCTAATGAATAGTTAAATTTGAGTTCAGTAATTCGACATGATTGTCGAATTAATATTGTGATGTGATCACATGGAACTGTCAAATAGAAAATGGAATTGAGGATTTAATGTATATTTGGAAAATGGGCATTTTGGTCATTTCACCCAGTTCCAAATATTCAACGTGATTAACGGGAGTAATACGTAAGAGCAATTTGTCAGAGGATGTAATTATTGTAGTTTCAGTAATTTCAATTAAATTAAGAGCGCAATCACTTTCTTTGAGTGGAATAGAACTTAATTAATAAATTATCTATACCGATTAAGAATTGACTTGGTCAAAATTAATTTATTGGAGCTTGATTTAATTGGGACCGTTTGGTCCCTTCAGTGGCTTTAAAAATACGAACCAGAATAAATTATAAGAGTTATAATTTATTAATTGTAGAAATATATATAAATTAATTAAACCGGAATGTGTCTTGCATCTGCTAAGCAGGTGACATTTAGATATAGAGGTTATGATTTGGATAAGTACAAAAAGGAATTTTTTTTTTTTTTTTTTTTTTGTTGAGGACCTTTATCCAATCAAAAGATAAAGTTCTTTTGGGATTGAAAGTCTTGTGAATCAAATCTATATATGTAGTCATGTACATTTTCATTTTTGGGCTTAATTAATATATATGCAAAATAAAATTCTTGTGCCTGCACACAAAATGAAAAATCTCTACGGCCATTTTTTGAGTTCTTGGAGAACACTGAAGAAGGCCAAAAGGTTTGAAGGAGAACTAAGAAAATCAAATAAGGAAGCTTGAAGGTGGAATCAAGGAGATCAAAGATGAAAGGATTTTTTTTAAAGCACGCTACAAGAATAACTTCTAAAACACTTATGTGTAAACTATATTCCAAATTATTTAATTCTTGTTGATATACAATTTAATAAAATCCGTTGTATTCTTCCAACATTAAGACTATCCAAAAGTTCAGTTTCTGTTAAACAACTCGATCGACCAATTGATTCAATCACGAACCGAGAGTAACAGCTCCAGTGGATCAGTATTCTTAATTGCGTATTTAACGAAAACCTGGAAAATTTGTGTTAGGAATTATTCGGCGTTGATATAAATGTTATGAATATTTTTTACTATAAAGAGCCTTGACATCTGGTTATTACTATGTTTTTATATCTATGAAAATCAACCTCCAGTGCAAGTATGACTCCACATTTTGACCACTGTGTCGGAACTAGTTTTAGAAACATGGGATTTTTGTACAGATAGTCACTAACCTATGTCTATTGTACACAAGTGATCCCTATTCTTCAATTCTTGACACTAATCCCTGAACCTTGTGTAGGTTTTGTTCACTATTGATTCTTTTTGTCAATTTTTGCTGTTAAGCGCTCTCATATGCTAAACTTTAAAAGTGTAAAACCGGCCCAACTTTTTTTATGAGACATACTTTATAGGGTAAATAGCAGCAGCAAATGTTCCCAAACTTTCAACCCATTTTCAAATTCGTTCCCCAACATTTGAAATAGGAGTGCCTTTCAGGTGTTATGCCAACAGAATTGAAAACTGTTTATGGATCAAAATTCATAGCACAAATTTTATCAGCCAACTTTTTCTTTCAATATGGGTCAAATCCCCACAAACAGGTTTGATATCTAAACCATCCCCTAAAAGTTCTAGGAACTTGATTATGTAGATTTCACAATCTCCCTGCAACATGATTGTCGGACATAAATACAAAATACATTAAAATAACAATATAGAACATAAGAAACGCTTAAAATGGATTATTACGCATTGTGGATCATCTTCGTGTCAATGTCATGTGAACTGACTTTGTGGAAAGTTTACGCGGACAATAAATTTCTTTGATCATTCTAGGAATAACTTAAAAGATACTCATGTTTGGTTCTTCCAATTGGGATCTTTTCTAGTTTCCGAACGCAAATATGTAATTGTGTGATATCATTTTCTGCTGCATTACGCGTGAATTTTTCAGTGATCTGCTTCAATCATATTTGACAATGATAATTGATTTTCCAAAATCTAACAACATTTATTTCAAAATGATTAATACTAATTTTGAATTGGGATTTTTTACTGGAAAATGTGATTTTTTAATTTGGCAACAGAAAATGAGAGAATGCTTGTTTAAAAGAAGATTTCAAAAGCAATTGATGGAAAATTTCTTGAAATTGGCTTCTAAACAATAACTTCTCAACGATACTATATTTCTCTGATTTTGTTCTCAGAAAAGTAGGACAATTGGATTCCACAAGAATTGTAGGATAAATTGGAATACCTTTATCTTTTAAAATCTTTACCAAATAAATTGTTTCTTCTTTAAAGGTTTTTCACTTTAAAATAGATCCCTCAAAAGATTTTGATGATAATTTGGATAATTTCAATATATTGGACCAAGATATTGTTATATTTGGTGAAGAACTTTTTGAAGAATACAAGGCTGTAATCTTATTGAATGCTATTTCTGAAAATTACAGAGAAGTTAAAAACACCATCAAATATGGTAAAGATAAGTTGAATTCTGAGATGTGTATTATTTCTTTGAGAAGTAAAGGGTTAGAGCTCGATGTTGTACAAGATTTTGGAAATGCTCGAAGTTTAGTGGTGATGGGTAGAACTGAAAACAGAAATAATGATGGCCAAGAATATTAGAACAATAGTTCTGGAAATTTTAGAAACCAAAGTAGAAAAATAGTACACTTCATTAAAGATTGTTAAGATTGCTGGTTGCACAAAAGGAAAAGCTGGCATTTCCAATCCATGGCACCAAATTAGTGCAACTTTCACACTATTTTATAAGGTCATCTTCAATTCATTAAACTGAATGAACAGTATTTCTGGTATTTTCTTATTTTTTAATTCTCAATAATTAAAATTTATTAATTATAAATTATATTACTATTACCATATCTAAATAAAAATTACATTTAATTAACTAAAATATTACATTAATTAAAAAATAAAAAAGCATTACAACCACAATTTTTAAAAAATATTACATTTAACTAACACACACAAATACACACACACACACACACACAAAAAAAACTTTCGCAAAAGAAACACGAAAAACAACTAGTTTTTAGAGTGATGAAAAGGTGTCTTAATCTTTATTTTGTAACATTCATTCATTGTACAAGCCATCATACATAATATAATTCAGAATTCTAAACTTTGTATCGTCTTTGAAGTTAATAATAATTTTGAGTTACCATACATTGTTGACAGCTTCAACTTGGAATCAATCCCTGTTAATGAGATCATCGCCTGCAATAACATGTACAAAGTCAAACAACTAGATAATCAGATATAAATTTCTCTTGATAGTTCACGTGACTATCTCACAATAGATGTAACGGTAATGCATTTTAAGAAAGGTAGAAGCATCCTTTTTAACAAAACAATCCAAGTTCAATTTGTAATAGCTTACTTGATGAACCATTCTACACGAAGCCTCCATTTCGATACAATATATAAATTGGTTTATAAATTTCAAGTCAAAGTCAAACATTAATTTTAGGATAATGTTACATGTACTCGTACTTTTGTACAAAAAATTTTACTTACACTCATGATAGGGGTGGGGACCACACGGCCGGCATTTTTGAATTCATGTGGGGTCCGCATTTTTTGTGAGTGCATGTAATCCATTTTGTTGAAGTTTGTGAGTACATATATATTAATCCTTAATTTTATAACTACTAATCATTAATGTCTACATTTTTTGTGAAATCCGCTACTATTCCTCTTATTATTCCTATTTACAAAGCATTAGAAATTTGTCAAATGAAGGCTAAAATATGCAATACTCAAAGGAGTAACTTACGGTATGAGAGAATAGCAAATGCAGTCTGTGTGATGGTGAGCACGAGCAGGGTAATGGCAGCAAAGACTGAAATGGCTGTCCATGGATTGTCAAAATATTCTTGCTTTAATGTTGCTATCCATCTATTCCTTATTTTGGCGCAATGATCATTTACATCGGAGAAAATACGAGAATATGGAAACTCATCAGAACCTGTGATACTCTTGCCTAGCCGATTGATTACACGATAAACCATTTCTTCGCTCCCCAAAAAGTTGCTAATGATTCCTGAACGTTGCAACACTTCTGCATCTTCAGGGGAATGGACGAGACAATGCATGAAGAATACATAATCCGTCACACATTTTTGAGGACTGTCTGTGTCGTAGTGCTCATATGCAATCAAATTTCGGAACAATGATTCTGTTGAATCAGAAATTTTCCATTTTGGAATCTTCATAACTTTATTTTCGAATTCAATATGAAAGAAGCTATCACCTTTCCTCTTTTGGAAGGAAATCCCTGCCTTCTCGAGCTCTACAGCTGAATTTATATTCACCACGATATGTGGATCTGAAGAATTCCGTACAAATGAAGAACACTGGATGTAATGTACAATGCCAAGAAGATGGTGAGCATTAATAGGGACTTCCGAAAGATCTTCCCTTCGCACTGGGAAAATGCTATTTTGTGGCAAAGGCCACATTAGAGATTTAATGTCGTCTCCCTCACCCTCACTGATCATGTTGAACAAACAATCAACGATGAAAAATGGAATCTGATTCTCAAACAGCATTAGATCATGAAACAATTGATTTAGTATATGTCCATACCGGAAAATGGGGTCATCTCGATCCATACATACAATGTGTTGATACTTGAGGAGAAATTCGACGATAAAACAACCATCAAGAATCAACATTTTCACAAACTCATCGTCATCAAGGTGGATGTCTTCATCATAACATTTCCGTGCCCTGTCTTTGTATTGTATTATTGTCGTAACATATCTTTCTACACTCGACCCTTGTCCTCTTTTAAGAAACAGCTTTAGATATCTGACTTTGTGTTGCTCCATCTTCTGCAAGTTAGGTTTCCCGCGGTGAAATGGGCCAATGGCTATTATTTTTGGATCGTAAGCCTCTGGATTTATGCTGCGTAAATGATCACCAACTCTAAACATTGAGGGCTTTGAAGGTGTAGAAGACAAGCTCTTAAGCATCATAACAATGTCAAAGGTGACACTGTCAGCTATTGTCTCAGACATTTTTCTAACTGTTTGTGGAAAATAAAAAACGAGTACCTTGATTTACCAACAAATTAATCTATCCAATTCTAAAATATGCTAGAAGGATTTGATATGGATTTCAGAGCACTTGATTAGTAGGCCTCCAGTGAGCCGGTCGATGAGATCTCCGAGATTGATCAGAGATGGGTAATAAATTTGCTATGCGATGGAAGAAAGAAAGGTAAATGCATATGAATGACAAGTTTTAGTGTTAAACGGATCAACCAGTTAACCAAATAAGTATTGCCCAGGAGCTAATTGCTTTCATTCCAATTGTTTTTACCTAACACTCATATGGTTCAATTTGTTCTTACCTAACACTTCAATCCACGCTAACTGTCTCGAAATTGCATTGAAATATGCAAACTGTATAATCAAAAGTAATTATTGTCTGTAAAATTTTAAATACCACTCATAAGTGTTAGGTAAGATTCTGTTAATGCAGCAGCATGGTGATGAAAGCAAATAACAAATTGTCATCGTGTCCTAAGATTTCATAGCCAACTGCTTCAGCGTTCAATTTTCAGCAGGCATTGTGAATTAGTAGTATGCCTTATTGGTGTTGGCCAATTTTTATTTGGTCAATTGATAAAAAAATATGGGAAAAGAAGAAAAATTTACTTTACACTAAACATTTCAGGATCATCCACGTTTTTGGGAAAAGATTCTGTAATGAATGAAGCAAGGTGATTACAAGATGAAATAAGTCAATCACATAAAAGAACGTCTGCAACAAAAAGTCAACTCTGTAATTTTGCAGGTGTTGCCCCCTAATTTCAGCAGGCATCGAATAAATAATGACTTTTTATTGGTTTTTGGCAATCTTTAGTCAATTGGCCAAACATATCGGCACCATCGAGACAAACATAAACAAAATGTCTAATTCCAACTCAAATTTACAATTTTCAAATGTACATGGGTCACGTGCCAAGCAAATTATATTATTTAAATGTCAACGGCCCATATTGTCTTAAGCCCTTGTTTGGACACATTATTTGTTTCATTAAAATGAGATTTCTAATCATTGCACACGTAGTTGGATCCCACACAAGATATGAGAAGTCAACAAAATCGGTTAGATGTGATAGTTAACGGTCAAAATTTTCATTTTTTTGTCCAATAATATGTCTCAAATAGGCTCTAAATATGATTTAAAATCATATATCAAAGACTGGATGACATATTTAAAGTTGGCATGATTTGAGGTCATCAATTGGTAAAATGCAAAAAATATATATTTAATGTTTTACACATTCTCAAAATTTCTTATTTTTCTTAAATTCAAAATAGTAAACATTTTTACTACTTTAAAATACCATAAAAAATAATTGCTCGCTTGAGAACTAGTTTATTAAAAAATAAATACATTTACCCAATTTTTATCACAAAAAATGAAAATAAAAAACAAATAGATCATCCTTAGTATTTGGTATATGGAAAATGAAAAAATATCGACCACGACATCTAAGAATTAAATTAACAATAGATAAATACAGCTGTACACAGCTTGCTTTCAGACACATAAATTCATAACTTAATTTTTTTATATAAAGATTCAAAATTTAGTAGTGCTTTGTTTTGTTGTGGTACTCAGAGCATTTTCAATAGACTCTCTATTTTTAAAAAAATATATTCTATTATTTGAAGGGCATCTAGAAATTTAGAGTTAAAATTTCGAAGTACAACAAGATCTTATATTTAATCCCAAAAAATATTTGTTATTTTTTTCTCTATATTTTATTTTAAATAATTTTTCTCTAAATTATTTTACTATTTTTCTATATTGAAAATTGAAACACTTTGGCTGAATCTAATTATAAAGAGTTAGTTGGCTCTCTAAACTCACTCTTTAAATTAAAATGTTAATTTAAAGAGTCTTTTGAAACATGACTTTAAGGATTGATTTTTTAAAATAGAAAGCATCTTATGCTTAAGAGTTTTTTGGAGATGCGATGAAAGTAGTAAAGACTAAGTGTAGACAACTGTGATTTTGTTTAAAAGGCCTATACTCAATAGTGTCTTTCTTTTTTTCTTTCTTTTTTCTTTTTTAATTTTTTTAAGAGCTTATATTATGCCTTGTTTGACGGAATTAAAATCAAAATTTTAATAGATTTTGATGAAAGTTGATGAAATGTATGGTTAAAAAGTTGTATGATTTATACAATGTGGTTAAAATTAATTTTTTACTTTGATTTAGCTTAAAATCTTAAAATCTAGATTTTAGTTCTTACTAAATAGGGGCATATATATTATTCTATTAGATGTTAAAAGTTTTAAATATTCTTTACTTGAAAATGTCTAAAATGATCAATTTAAAATCGAAGTAAAATATGGAGCTAAACCCCAAACCCTCAATTTCATTCTCTATTTTCATTTTTCTTCAAAATACAAATTCAAAACTCAATTCAACCCCAATTTCTTCTTCTTACAATGCATTATCCCAATAAAATAAAATAAATAAATAGCTGCATTAAGTGATTAAATTTTCAAAGTGACATAATTCAACAGAAAAAATATATACCAAAGGGTGCAAATTGATTTCCATAAACCAAGAATTTAAGATAAAATTGAAGGTATACTTTATAAGTTGAAAATTAATGATTTTTGGTTATTTTTCAGTTATATTCTACCTCAAAAATATTAAAAAAAAAAAATCAATTGGGTGAGCAAGATAAGCAGTACAATATAAAAATAGAATGATGCTGTTTTTATGAACCCGGATGTCGTTTTTTGTATTTGGGTGTCATTTTTCTGTAGGTGGGTGCAATCTTTAAATCGTAAACGGTATTGTTGATGTATATTTTGCTAATTAGACAAGTCTACTCTGTCTAACAATATTATAACATTTTATACTAATTTAAGAATTTTGTTATTTGTATACTAATTTTTGACACTTTGGTTAACACTTGCATTGATATCAAGTGTCAATTGGATGAAAAAACTCTTTGAAATTTAAACTGTCCAATAGGATAATGACACGTGTCAAGATGTAAACTAAAGTGTACACCATAGTGTACATGTAGCAATGTTTCTAATTTAAATGGCATTTACCCGTTTTAAACAATAAAATGATGTTTCTATCTTTTTGATATGTGTAATATCTATTTTGATCTATGAAACTCGGTTTCTATGTGTTTGACTACAATTTGTTTACAGTGATTGATAAATAGATAGATAGATCGCTACAGTTGTTGAATGTAATATTAAAACTATGATGGTTTTTTATCTGTTCGGTAGTAATTGTGAGAATTGATTTTTTTACCGTTAGAGAGAAAAGTGGGTTCCACATGTGAGTAAAGAAGTAAAAAATGATAGCTAGAATAATAAAATAACGATAAAAAAATTGATTTTTCGGGATGAAAAAATGCCACCAAACGGGAGCATATTTTGTTCAGCTAGTTGAATTAACCTTTAAATTGTGCTCACCAAGTTATTTGGTGTATTGGTGTTCTCCAAAACGGCATGCAATTGATTTAAACGACTGTGTATCTTTTCAATTAATTCTATGCCCGTTTTGACTTTATTGTGCCTCGTAATATCATAAAAATGAAAACACGTTTTCACTAACTTTGAACATCACGATCGATAGAAAAGTTCACACTATAATGAACAACATGTATCTCGTGAATAACTATACTACATGACTAGGAACAAATGAACTAAATTTCAACAATTTCATGTGGATGAGATAGCGAAACTTAGTACTTTAATTTGCTTAACTTATTTAAGTCTTGTATGGTATTCTAAAATATGATTGAGGAGTTTTGTAGTTAAGTCGAGAGCCCGTGCACTAAAACATCATGCAGTCAAATCAAATGGCCGGAGATCGTTTTAACTAATTTCGTGTCAGTTTCAATTAGAGTGTGTTTGATTGTTAATATTTTTTATGAAAAATGTCATTTTTTCACAAAAATTTCTACTTTTATGCCGTTTGATTGATAATGAAAAATATTTTCTTATTTTTGGTCATGTGACAATATTTTTTTTGAAATAAGAAAAATATTTTCTTTAGGGGGAGTATGCTTTTATTTTTCAGGTAATTCACTCTCTCTTTCTCTCTCATTTACCATTTCTCTCTCCTATTTGCCTACCAATAAAAAATAGACAAGTATAATATTTTCTAAATTGAAAATAAAATCAATCAAACACATTTAATTGACAATTTCTATGCAAATAATTTTTAAACAATTGAATTTATTTTCTTTCTATGTAAATTCCATGCTCGTAATTAAGCACACCCTTATATTAACTCTTATGATCATAAAAATGAATGAAGACACATTTCACTACCTTTTACACCACGAAGGTAGAGGTCCAACATAAACAAGCATAAGATCTAAGGGAAGAGAGTCGCAATCGAATTTACCTACTAACACGTTTGTTGCGTGAGTAAACTTCACTATACTGAATAGACAAGTATAATATTTTCTAAATTGAAAATAAAATCAATCAAACACATTTAATTGACAATTTCTATGCAAATAATTTTTAGACAATTGAATTTATTTTCTTTCTATGTAAATTCCATGCTCGTAATTAAGCACACCCTTATATTAACTCTTATGATCATAAAAATGAATGAAGACACATTTCACTACCTTTTACACCTCTAGAAATGAAGTTAATTCAAATTCTATTAAATTCGTCTAGATGAGATAGTGAAACTCATTACTTAGCTTGCCTAATTTATTTAAATCTTCTATGATATTTCAAAATACACGTGTTTTGAAGTGAAATTGAGAGCTCGTGCTCTTAAAATGGCTTGTAGCCATTTTAGAAGGTTGGGTTTCATTTTAATTAATTCCGTGTCCGTTTGAATTTATATTCCCTCATATTATCATAAAAATGAATGAAGACACACTATCACTATCTTTGAGCACCAAGGTTGATATAAAGTTCTTACCTTAAAATGATCTTCAATTGTATCTCATGAGTAATTACATACACTAGGAACAAAATTATCTCATGTTCTATTCAAT